TTGTCCTAAAACTATGCCACAGAATTTTTGGTGGATTTGAGACAAAGGTCTCATTGTAAGTTTGGACGCTGGATAACTGAACTACCTAAATCTAATTAACATGTTTTGGTCAAAGCTTCAAAGAGCACTTACCTACTCTGGACACAGATACACACATGATCAAATCACCCACAGATCATGAGACTTGGGCATAATGAATATGTAACTAATACCTGGTGAGATTATCCAACAGACCACCAGGACACCACAGTCAGCGCAGTGCTGCTAATGGTTTCTGTGTTTTCAACAATGTGGCCATAGCAGCCCGATATGCACAGCAGAAATATGGAGTCAAAAGGTAGTATGACCTTTTATGTTTATTTATCTTTTAAGACACTCACTCGGTCTCATGCGAACACACTGCCTGTTTTCAGGGTGTTGATTGTAGACTGGGACATTCATCATGGCCAAGGAGTGCAGTATTGCTTTGAAGACGATCCAAAGTAGGTCTTCTTCATTTTAAAGAAATGTCCAAGTTTAACTGGATGTTGTTTTCAATTCTGCGTTTTGTCGGTTTTAACTGTTTTTTTATATAGCGTTCTCTACTTTTCTTGGCATCGCTATGAACATCAAAACTTTTGGCCCCAGCTCAGAGAGTCAAACTATGACAGTGTTGGCAAAGAGAAGGGAGCAGGGTTTAACATCAATGTGCCATGGAACCAGGTACTTTACATTTATTCTTCATCCAGTGAGCTGCTTTGGTTTCAGTGGTTGGTTTCTAGTCAGAAACTTCAGGGTTCAGTTCTAATGTCTTTGGCTTTGACATTAAACCTCCGCTGACCTCCAGTATGTTTTTTGGCACGTTTTTTTTGCTTTCAGTGTTTTAATCAACTGTACCCACTTAAAATCAGTTAGTTAATAAATACATCATGAACCAAAGACATACAGTGATTTTCTAAATACTTGCAAACATTGAGATATTAATCAATCTTCTTTAATATCTCTTGAATATGGGTCAAATTTCAGGTTCGTTCAACTTGTACATTTGATTACAAATTACAGTAGTCCCTCATTTATTGTGGTGGATCTGTACCCTGAAGCTCCTCGATAAGTGAAAAAATGTGAAGTAGGAATAGTAGTACAAGTAGTAAGTAGTAGTTTGTTTTAGTATACAGGTCCTTCTCAAAAAATTAGCATATTGTGATAAAGGTCATTATTTTCCATAATGTAATGATAAAAATGAAACTTTCATATATTTCAGATTGATTACACACCAAGTGAAATATTTCAGGTCTTTAATTGTTTTAATACTGATGATTATGGCATACAGCTCATGAAAACCCAAAATGCCAGTCCCAAAAAATTTGCATATCATGAAAAGGTTCTCTAAACAAGCTATTAACCTAACCATCTGAATCAACGATGTAACTCTAAACACCTGCAAAAGATTCCTGAGGCTTTTAAAAACTCCCAGCCTTGTTCATTACGCAAAACCGCAATCATGGGTAAGACTGCCGACCTGACTGCTGTCCAGAAGGCCATCATTGACATCCTCAAGCAAGAGGGTAAGACACAGAAAGAAACTGCTGAACGAATAGGCTGTTCCCAGAGTGCTGTATCAAGGCACCTCAGTGGGAAGTCTGTGGGAAGGGAAAAGTGTGGCAGAAAACGCTGCACAACGAGAAGAGGTGACCGGACCCTGTTGAGGATTGTGGAGAAGGGCCGATTCCAGACCTTGGGGGACCCGCGGAAGCAGTGGACTGAGTCTGGAGTAGAAACATCCAGAGCCACCGTGCACAGGCGTGTGCAGGAAATGGGCTACAGGTGCCGCATTCCCCAGGTCAAGCCACTTTTGAACCAGAAACAGCAGCAGAAGCACCTGACCTGGGCTACAGAGAAGCAGCACTGGACTGTTGCTCAGTGGTTCAAAGTACTTTTTTCCGGATGAAAGCAAATTTTGCATGTCATTCGGAAATTAAGGTGCCAGAGTCTGGAGGAAGACTGGGGAGAAGAAAATGCCAAAATGCCAGAAGTCCAGTGTGAAGCACCCACAGTCAGTGATGGTCTGGGGTGCCATGTCAGCTGCTTGTGTTGGTCCACTGTGTTTTATCAAGGGCAGGGTCAATGCAGCTAGCTATCAGGAGATTTTGGAGCACTTCATGCTTCCATCTGCTGAAAAGCTTTATGGAGATGAAGATTTCATTTTTCAGCACGACCTGGCACCTGCTCACAGTGCCAAAACCACTGGTAAATGGTTTACTGACCATGGTATTACTGTGCTCAATTGGCCTGCCAACTCTCCTGACCTGAACCCCATAGAGAACCTGTGGGATATTGTGAAGAGAAAGTTGAGAGACGCAAGACCCAACACTCTGGATGAGCTTAAGGCCGCTATCGAAGCATACTGGGCCTCCATAACACCTCAGCAGTGCCACAGGCTGATTGCCTCCATGCCACGCCGCATTGAAGCAGTCATTCATGCAAAAGGATTCCCGACCAAGTATTGAGTGCATAACTGAACATGATTATTTGAAGGTTGGCATTTTTTTGTATTAAAAACACTTGTCTTTCATTGGTGGGATGAAAAATGCTATTTTTTTGGGACAGGCATTTTGGGTTTTCATGAGCTGTATGCCATAATCATCAGTATTAAAACAATTAAAGACCTGAAATATTTCACTTGGTGTGCAATGAATCTGAAATATAAAAGTTTCATTTTTATCATTACATTATGGAAAATAATGACCTTTATCACAATATGCTAATTTTTTTAGAAGGACCTGTATATAAAGGTGTTTAAAACCCTTCCCACACACGCAATATTCTAAACAATGTTTCTAAACTCTAAACGCTCTAAAAAAGCACAGCATGTCATGATTTCAGCTCCCTGCCTCCTCTGCTCTCAGCCACCTGCAAATGCTCTTGACCATGCCCACTGCTCCGCTCGGCACGAAGAACAGCTGATCAGCTGCAGGAGGAGGCATATCCTGCAGTGTGGGCTGCACAGAGGAGCAGCAAGTGCTAAATAATTTAAAATAATTTATTTTAAATAAAAATTCCATGCCGATCGTGTGGCTCATCCATCAATCAGCCGATTATGTGTCATGTCCAATCTTATTTTGAAAAACTGCAATAGAGTGAGTCCGCGATAAATGAACCATGAAGTAGCGAGGGACGACTGAATTTAAAGTTATCTACATTACATTTTTGTTACATTTATGTTGTTTATTTGTCAAATGCAGGTTAACACAAGGTCAACAACGCAATGAAATGTTCAGGATAAGAAGAAATATTTGATTCGCTAAAAGAAAATAACAAACTCAAGCACAGAACAAAGTACAAAATAAAGTACCAAAAAGTGAAAAGAAATATAATATTTACAAGGTCCAAAAGAAATATAGTAAATGACAACATGGTAGAATATAAATGTGCATGTAGGATGAATTTGCATAAATATTTCCCAGGTAATAATATCAGCTTAAATTCACATGATATATAATGCACATATGATGGTAAGGTAGTGACATACATGATATAGGCACTATGGCATGAGATATGACATACATGACATACAACCACATAGTCAAGGTCAAGATTCTTTATTGTCATTCACATCACATGTGGTACATGTGGTGGAACAAAATTGTGTACACAGTGTCCCAGTTACATCCAACAAAAGTATAAAATGTAAAGAAAAACAGTAAAGTTTTTTTTTTAGTGCAGCAGCATTAAACATATTAGGTGTCACAGATTAGTGCAACGTTATTGTCAATAGTTCAGTATTATTATGAAGAGTTATCTGACAGTTTGTGAATAATAACTGTCTTTGAATCTTTTTGTGTGTGATGACAGACTCCTGTATCGTCTGCCTGAGTATAGTAGACGGAAGAGTCCTTGTGCTGGGTGGATGTGGTCCTTGATGCTGTGTGCTTTATGCAGACACATATACAGGTACAATAAAAAAAAAATGAATATTGTGAAAAAGTTAAATTTTTTTTTTTTTTCAGAAAGTGAAACTCATATTATATAGATTCATTACACAGAGTGAAATATTTCAAGCCTTTATTTCTTGTAATTTTAATGATTATATCATACAAATAATGAAAAAGCAAAACCGTGTCTCAGAAAATGAGAATATTGTGATAAAGTTCCACATTGGAAACTCATGCACACTGTGCACAGACGACTCCATGAGCTACAAATGTCACGTTCCTCAAGTCAAGCCACTCCTGAACCAGAGACAACATCAGAAAAGTCTTTTTCACAGTATTTAATTTTTTAGATGCACCTGTATAACATTTTTGGAACCTAGATTTTAAACAATCTACAAATATTAAATATTTACTTGTTGGAAAATTTACAAATATTATTTATGACCATTTCATAAAATTGAACGCAAATTTAGGTTAACAAATTTAGAATGTGAAGTGTTGTTGTTTTTTTTAACTCTTATGTATTTTTTTTTTTAAATCTATCATTACACTGATCCTGTTTTTGTTTTTATTACATAATGTCAATGTGTCATTTTGGGACTGTTCATATTTGTCGTTTGTAATCTCTTGGGTGATTCAGCTATAAATGGTCAGCTCTGATTGGGTGAATTTATATGTGATCGTTCATTTGTACCTCAAACCCTTTTGTGATATCATTTATCCACTCTGTACACTTTCACACATACACATACACTGTACACATACACATAGCGGGCTGTCAGCGAGTCAACAAATGACATGTCTGCTGATGTTTCTGTAAAATTTTCAATGCACTCAAACTTCTGTGCTCTAAAAATAAAAATTTTTCACATTAAAACAGTTCAGTGTTATTGAGTTGCATTTATGTTTTGTTATGACTTGAACCTTAGCTCTGTGTCAGAGTACACACAAAGATTCCAGTCCCCGTCAGCTGTTTTCACTACTTGGAATGTTAACGTAACAGCTGGATCATTCCATGACTGAGCCAGCACATTATAGCTCACGGTGATCATGGTGGGTCCAACCAGCTCTAAAAATAATCAGAACAAACAAACTGAAGAGAAACCCACAATGCATTATCATATTAGAATCCTCTGGCTAACTCTGATTAATAAAATCCTGACAAAATGAAGATTTATACTGAGTAGGATTCTGATAACATTTCCTTAAAGCATTTAGTCAAAACCTAGAGAAGCAAACAAACAAAAACAAGCAGAATCTTTTTTTCTTTACCTGGAGATGTCCAGACAATTTGCTGCTTGTGTCGAGGCACATCAGTACAGTAGGAGGTCCTACAGCTTGGCTCAGGACAGAATGCATTCAGATTAACAAACTTATGCGAATAAATAGGTGTGCATGCATACCGCCCCTCCCCCCCTTTTTTTAATTGGTTCATTTTTCGTGGACTCGCTCTATGGCAGTTTTTCAAAATAAGATTGGACTTGACACATAATTGGCTGATTGATGGATGAGCCGTCTTGATGGATGATGTTCTAGAATTGCGCCGCTCCAGGTGGCTGCATGTTGGAGCAGTTCTGTTACTTTCATTCTGAGATTTTGCTTTTGAAAACTTTAATTCCTCTTTTTCTGGATGTAAATCACATTTTTTGGATGAATGTTTCCTCTGGTATCGGATGCTGTGCAGCTGGAAGGATTTTTACTGAAACTTTTTTAGTTTTGGACATTTGTTATGATGCGTAACCATGGGAACAAGGCAGTTTTCTACAACCAACAGCAGCTGATTAACATCGCAAAAGCTCAAATAATATCTCAACGACAGCCCCAAATCTCAAATGAGTTGAAAAGGATGTTCTGTGGATGTATTCTCATCTACCTGCCAGCTGTGCTCGAGTACCTGACCGCTGAGATCCTGGAACTAGCAGGAAACACAGCTCACGACAGCAGAAGGACAGGATCGTCCCTCTGCACTTACAGTTTCTCCCCGTCTGCAGCGACGAGGAGCTTGGCAGACTGCTGGGAGGAGTGGCCATCGCTCTGGGAGGAGTTCTGCTCGGCATTCGGGCGGTTCTACAGCCCGGGGGAACCGAGAGGCCAGCCGAGTCTGAGTGGACGGATCGAACGGCATCTGCAGCCAGTTTCTTAGGATCCACTGTGGGATTGACCTTTACAAGAGATCCTTCCTGCCTACAGCCATCAGCATCTATAACATGTCTTAATGAAATGAGGATAAAGAGTTAGAACAACAAATAATTTCCTTTTGGGATTAATAAAGTATTTTTGAATTGAATTGAATTGAATTGAGCCGCACGATTGGCATGGAATTTTTATTTAAAATAAATTATTTTAAATTATTTAGCACCTGCTAGTCCTCTGAAAGATGGGCAGCGTGCCCGTTGCTGCTGCTATAATAGTGCTGCCCCTTATTCTTTATCAGAATACTTTTAAATAGAAAAAGGTAAGACCCATGAGGATGGATAGTGGTAGTACAAAAAAGATCTCTTCACATCTCGTCCTATCAGGACACAATTTGAGACATCAAAAACTCTACCAGCAAGCACATTTTTAAGCACATTACATATGCATTTGACATCAAGACGTTGAGATTTGTCCATGAGCACTTTCAGATAGGCCACAGTCCTGATGTTGTTGTTCAGCTGGCAGTTATGGAAGCTTGTACAGAAGTTCTCAGAGGGGATGGGGGGAGGGTTGCGATAGACAAAGCTTTTTCCTTAGTTACCCATGTCCCAGGAGAAATTTGATAGTTGGCTTGTATCTGAGGCCAAACGGGGGAGTCAGATTCAGATAAGCCACATTTGTTGATTTTCTTCAGGCAGACTGTTTTTTTCTTGTCAGCCTTGAGTTCTGCTGGAACTTTCCTGATCCAAAATGGCCAGATTAATGGGTATTCCACTCCATGATCCGTGTTATGAGCCTTCTTCAAAGTTGATCCCAAGATGCTGGTAAGGCCTAGAAGCTGCAGGTGGCCTGCGATTCTCACAAATCGCCTCCATCTTATGGTTTAGCTCATAAATCAGCTGAATTTGAGTACTCATAGCACAAACTAAACCTTCACACAGACTCGAAAGCTTTGCTATGGCCAAAACTGCTGCTGATGTATTCTTCAAAAGTTGATAAAACAGAGCCTTGCCAATGCCAAAGAGCAGAAACCTTCTATCATAAATCCAAACATATAAGCGTCTTTGGCGTCCTCCTGAGACAGAATTGAAAGACACCTCAGCTACCAAACTTCCCACGGATCTCTTATGTACCCCGCAGCGTGAGTCTCATCTGGACAAAAGGGTTCTCCAGGACCCTGTCGTTTTGTTGAAAATATTTTGTTGATTGCATTGAAAGTCCAGCTCACCAGATCCAAAATAGTATTTTTTGTTTGGGAGATGTGTGCCAGGAGCTCCAAGACAGACAGAGAGCAAAAGCAGGAGGAAGAGGAGAACAGGGGGAGAGCAGAGGCGTCTGTCTTGAGCGAGAGCCATCTTGAGCAACAGTCGTATGGCTGTGGGCAAGAGAGAAGGATGTTGAGCTTGTTTATGAACTGAACCTATTGAAGAATGTATTCCATCCTTCTGATCCTCCTTCTGCTTGAAGCTTGTGATCTTTTTCATCCCTGACCACACCTCTCTGATTTTGTTCTGCTGGAGCTTGCTCTCAAGCTTCTTCTTGTACACCTCCTTGCTGTTTCTTGTCTTGACTTTTAGTTGCTTCTGTGTACTCCTCAATAATTCCCGGTCTCCCTCCCTGAAGGCTCTTTTTTTTCTGGTGCAGTTCCTTCAGGTCAGTGGTGATCCAGGGTTTGTTAGTGGGAAAGCATCTCACTGTTCTGGTGGGGATGGTGTTGTTTACACAGAAGTTTAATAGTCGATAAACTTGACTGGATCAAATACCTCATTATGATTGTACTCAGGTGGGAATGAAAAACAGCGACTATCTGTCCGTCTTCTGCCACATTCTTCTGCCAGTCGCATATGAGGTAAGTTATTAAAAAATACAAAAAATTTTAAGTAATAATTCAAAGACGTGACTTTTTAAATTGTCTCACTTGTAGTTTTGTCCTGACTTGGTCTTGGTGTGTGCTGGCTTTGACTCAGCCATTGGAGATCCAGAGGTACCAAATACAGTTTACAACGATAAAAACATTCAAGTACACTTACAATATTTAGCTGATTTTATGTATTACAATGCATGTTACCTGTGCAAAACTTATATTTCCATCTCATCTAACAACATTTGCATGCTTCAAATGTATGTGTTCATTCAGGTTACTATAAATAATGACTCAGAGACTGACTCTGAGAAACTTTGCAACTATATAAAAAAAAAATTGTTTATGTCTTTGCTTTCAGGGGGAAATGTGTGCCACTCCAGAAATCTTTGCCCACCTGACACATCTTCTGATGAACCTAGCTGAAGGAAAACTGTGTGTCGTTCTGGAGGTTAGACAAAATGCAGTTACTCTAAATCATTAAAGCAATAGTGCTACGTTTCTTTGGTTAATGCTCGGTCCTGAAACACTCTCAGGCCTAAGCCTTGCCGCCTGTGAGTAGGGGTGTAACGGTACACTAAAATCACATTTTGGTTCGGTTCAGTTTCAAGGAGGGCTTGGTTCGGTTAATTTTTGGTACAAAAAAGGCCAAAATAAAGACTTACAAAATGTTTATTTTGAAAATATTCCAAGTAAACAAGTTCAGTCATTACAGACTTCTTAGCTGGAGGTGATCTGGTGGATGAAGAAGACTCAGCTGCTATCATCCTCAGACTGCAAACAACACAGAGATAAAAATAATTTGAGTTAATAAGATTATAATTTTAAATTAAAAAAGTTAATGAGATCTCAATAATACAATAACAATACCTCTTCTTGCACGGTCATCATATGAGGTGGTTGAATATTCTCTCTTGCTCATCATCAATGTGACATGGCTTTAAATCTGGAGTCAGGCTTGTTGACAATATAAATTTGAGCTTTTTCGTAAAGTACTGCTACAATTTTTTGGCTGAAGTGTTGACGTGATGGGATGTCGTAGGCAGCAGGGCTCAAGAACTTTAATTATATGTTTAAAGCCAGTGCATCAACATTTGGACGTAGATCCAGAGCTTTATAACTCCTACAGCTTGTGCTATTGCTTTGGACCGATCTGAATGACCTGATAAAGGTTGTTTAAATGCTGCTGTTATCAGGCTTTGCACCAAGCTGCTAGAAGAGACGTTCACATTCGGATGATGTTGTTTCAAGTGCGTTAACAAGTTAGACGTGTTGCCTGCTGCAGATCCAATCTCCGTGAAACAACGTCGACACACAGCTTTGGATTTGTTCACTTGTCTTTTAACAAGAAAGCCATAATGTTCCCAAACAGGAGACTGCAATGAGATGGCTTGTTCGTTGCCTGCTAGGCTGCTAATGCTACGCGTGCTGCAAGATAATATCGCTGTGCTGAAACACGCGTAGGAACTTTAGTTCCGCGGCACATAATCTCTCATTAAGAAAATTTAATGAGTGAGAAAATAAGCGAAACAGTACGCATGTAGACTGAACTGAACATGCTGTACCGAAACTGTTCAATACACCCACATGTACGTTACACCACTACCTGTGAGGCATCTTTTTGTTTTTCCTGTCACGTCTGAGCGACATGTTTTTCATTGATTGTTTTCCAGGGAGGATACAATTTGACTTCCCTTGCTCAGTCTGTGTGTCAGACAGTTCAGACATTACTTGGAGATCCTTTACCTCAGCTCGCAGATCTCAGCTGTCCCTACAGAAGGTATGTGTCACTGTTGGTCAAACGTTACTATCTGTGTGTTCTACAGAACTGTGGGGGGTTATTGTTGTCTTTCAGTGCACTCGAGTCTCTTCAGTGTGTCCGATCAGCCCACAGGCAGTACTGGTCCTGCCTCAAACATGCAGGTAGGATTAGCACACCTCCATGTTCATTACCCATAGGCCAAGCTGAATGCAGACAGATTGGTGATAGAATTTGGCTTGTTACACCAGGAGCAGCTAAATCAGCTGATTTATTGCACAGATCTTTTGGCTGCAGTAGTCTGTTGATAAACTCCCTTTACCGTAATTTCCTGACTATTGAGCACACCTGAATATAAGCCACACCCACAAAAAAGTACATATATAGGCCGCACTTATCTATAAGCTGCGGGTGTTCACGTTGTAACTCGAGATGTTTACACAAAGATTTTTAAAAACTTTTAATTAAATACGTAACAATAACATCCACATATATGTACAGTACTTTTTTTTCTGAACAGTGCCTGTAACACGGCTGGTTAAAAAAAAAGTACAGTAGCCTACCAGGAAGTCATCGATCGCTATCTTCATTTTCCTCCTGCGCACTATGCCCTTGAATGTGCGCTGCCTTCCATCACACAGCTGCCTTTCGAAACCAGTTGGTGATAGAGGATGTTTTTTTACACGGCTCTGCTGTCAGGATCCACTGGCAGACTGGAGCAAAAGTTGCTCTGTGCATGCGGCCAGTTTTGGGGGCCGTTTACACGGTGCGTATTTTGAGTGAATCCGCACCTTTCTCTCTGCGGTTCTGCTGTTCATTTACACGACACCAGTGGCCCCCCTCTTTGAATCCGGAGGTTTCTGAACCCACCTTCCAGAATGGAGGTTTTTGGCTGACCGCCCGCTGATAAAGTAAACATCTCCCTCTGAGGCTTTGTGTTAAACCACATGCGCGCACGCACGCGCGGTCGGACAGACGGCATATTTCTATCAACATGGCGGCAGACACAGTGCTTTCTGAACTACGTCCAAAAAAGTTCAATCTGGTCCTCTGGACATTCAAAAAAACAAAAAACAAAACAAAGCAACTGGAACTGTTTTGTTTTTTGTTTTTTTGAATGTCCAGAGGACCAGATTGAACTTTTTTGGATTTTTCTACCTGGATTATTGAGCATGCATCAGGATTTTCTGAACTACGATTGTGTAGTGAACTAGACCTCCGACATCAATCTGTCTCTGAAGACCTTCAGGGGACAGGAACTGTTATTTCATTGATTTGAATCCAGAAATACAAATTATCTCAAGAGACTATTTAATTGTATCCTGAATTAATCAATTGAAAGAACACTTTTCTTTTTTATATTATCATTAACTATTTTACAATATCTTGATAATCAAAAGTGTGTTTAGTTCATACCATTTCTAAATGTTGAAGTAAACCACTCATTTAAATCAACTGTGAAACAGTATTAATGATTTTTAAACCTCATTATACTTGGATCATACAAGTAAATGTCTATTTACGAAGTAAGTGTGCATTCACTCTTCTGTCTGTGTGAGGAGTGGACCTGTGATTTTATTTGTGGCTGCGGCAAGTTTTGCCTCACAAGTTTTGCCTCACAAGCTGTTAAGCGTTCACGTGATATATGACACTCACTTTGTAAACGCACGCCTAGTTGGACTAATGCCGCTTTTTCCAATATGCACTCGTCCAGAGGTTTTGATATTAGCTGCAACTGTTGGTGCAGAACATCATAGTCTGAACACAGTTTTTGGTACTTTACCCCTCCTTCACGTAGCTTTTCCTCATATGATTCTGCTTGTAACAACACCTGAGCTTGTGAGAGCTCTTTTTCACGTTGCAGTTTTTCTTCCCAGGTCTCCTTTACCAATTGAAACTGTGCCATGAGTTGTAGGCACTCCTCATGTGTTGTTTCGCAGGCCTCTGTCTAACGTTTCAACTTTATTTCAAGGGCTATTGTCCTGTTGGCCTCAAGGTAATATTCAGCTTTCAGCAAGAGTGCTATTTTAGCTAGCTGTTTGTAGCCCAACTTCTCTATGGCTGCAGAAGTTACACTGCTTGCCACTTCCTTGAGTTCGTCGACTAAATCTGTTGAGTTCATGCAGTCCACCTGGTCACCATATGGAGATAAGGAATTTGTGAGCAGCTTCAAAGCTTTCTCAAGCCAGTCCTTCTTTACACCACTTGGAGCAGGATTATCATTATTAGCTTTTGTTAAATCTGCCATGGTCGTATTTACTGTTTAGCAAAACCTATCTGGTTAAACTGTCACAATTTTAGAGTTTTTCAACAGGTAAATGTTTGTATTTAAGTGAGCAGTGAGTTTCACATACTATTTACCTCTGGGTTCCATCAACAGTACTGTTATAAGCCAACTTTTCAATAATTGGGCACCTGTTTTAGGTTTTACCCCATGAATATTATAAGTAAATGCTTCCTGTGGCAGTGTTACTTAATATGAGCTTAATTCTAACAGATACGATGAACCAGGCTATTTTAGTGTTTATTTACTCAAATGCACTTAAAATTAATAAACCTGCAATATTTTCTAAAAAAAGTCTGACAGCAACTTTGTAGTTTTAAACGCTCTTTAAGCAGTTTAATTTACCAGAATTTGCTATTTAAAACAGTAACTCATAAACCAAGCTTGATTAACATCTTTATTTACCCACATGCATCTTTTTCGAAATAAAATGAAAAACGAGTTTGCAGCTCTCAGTTCTGAAAAACTGTTATACTCTTTTTCAACAGCAGGTGGTGGTGCAAGCTTATTTTTACCACAGGGTGACTGTTGACTGTAGCTACACGTCTTAGACGGTAGGAGTCACTGACGACTTCCTGTGAACCGTCCTGTTGACATCCGGTCGTTAGCCGTTAGCTTCGATTAGCATTGGACGAACACGGTCCAAATCAGCATTTATAGACAGATTCAAAGCTTGAACGTGGCGTCGCTTCAAAAGCACGCTCTTTAGGCATAAACTCATCAGGTTAGGAATGAATTTAGGGCTGTCATTCAGCATTTTTAACCACTAAGGAAGACTCCGTTTAAAAAATGAGCTTCATTTCCGGGGTCATGTGACTTTACAGACACGTGGACATCGGGGTGGGCTTTTTGTGCTGACGCCTGCGTAAGTGGACGTACACGGTGTTATGTCACCAGCTTCTCGGCAAATCAGAACGTTTCACGTAGCTGTCCTCGACCAATCACAGCTCGTGTGTACCTGTGTAAGCTAGCTGTTAGCTTCAACAGTCCGACCACAATATCGCCCATTAACGCTTCGAAAATGCACAAATTACCTGTGTAAAGTAGCGAATCAGCATAGAAGCAGCTTTCTGAGTCGGTGCTCAGTTTCACAGACAGCGTCTCACCATTTAAAACACGACTCGTTCGAGTCCAATAATCAGAACGGGTCGGAACCGCAGAACCCCCAGACATGAAAGAGTTTCAAATAGAATGACGTGTCCTTCCTCTCTGCTTACAGCTTAATCACACACACAGAATGACAATTTCCAGCTTCAAAATGAACATCAACACAATTCTGTATCTTTCTGAACACCACAGCCGTGAAATATGTCTTACCAAAGTCAAAACTTGGACGTTTTATATGCCAACATGAAGCGTTTTTCCACAATATCACACTATCTCATGTCACACATAATTTATCTCTTCAGAAAACCGAACGAGCCACCATTTATGTAGTGATGTAGGGACAGCTTTCACTGTAACATACTACTAATTAATTATTCTTAAAACTAGTTCAAGCACAAAGAATATTAATTGTCCAATTACAACGGATTCTTTCTTTTTCGAGTTAAATTTCTTCCATGTGGCCAAGATAACTTGAGAGTGGAGTTTTAATCAGTGACATGAGACGTAATTTATCTTTGACCCATCAGAATAAATGCGGTCATTTATTTAACAGAATCAAAATTTAACATCAAAACATGTACACGTTGATTTGCTGATCTGTTTCTGATTAATAAACTTGGCACGATTTACTAAACAAGACAACAGAAGATTACTGATTGAGACTGATTCATCTCTGAAGGCATCTAGCTTGATTTACTGGTGAATAGAAGTTTAAAGAGAAGGAGAATAGAAGTTTAAAGATTTAAAGAGGAGGTTTAGATGGATGAAAGTTATGTGTTGAACCAGAAAATGGCACCCTTCCTCCGAATCCAGCTCAGCCCTCCGGTACACTCAGGGCGTGCAACGACTTTGTTACCTTAGCAGAGGATACATCAACTCTGGAACAGAGGTCCATGGGCACGCTCCCTTTTCAGCGTCTCCGGTCAGAGTGGCTGGGGTCGTCAGAAGTCATGACGAAGTACTCAGTTCAACAGAATAAGCTTCCTTAGAAGTTGAGCATTTAATGCTTGGGTTGAGTCACAGCCGAGGCAGGCTGTGACTACGCTGGAATGGATGGACCCTTGGCACATGGTCAAATCCATCAGCTACTTAGTTCAGCTGGAAGACCCCAGTAAGACTGAGTCTTCCATGTAAGGCTGAAAGTTCCAAGAAGACTGGAAAAACTCAAAGACTGGAAAAGACTCTGGAAGACTGAATAGTTACAAGAAGTGTTGACTTTTAAAGGGTATCCACTTCCTGTCACTTGGTACTTCCTGATTGGTTGAAACAACCAGCAGGGGTGTAGTTTTAGTGATGTCAGAGGGTTATTAGAAGTCAACAGACAGCAGAAATGTTTTAAGAACGGTTAGTACAGACAGAGAAATATTTTAAAGAAGTGAGAGAAAGCAGGTGCCAGCCAGTTCTTATTTACTGTCCGAGAGTTTTAAAAACAAGGCACTTCGTTCTCATAACTTGTCTCTGACTTTCGACCGACATCAGGTCCACTCCTCACACAGACAGAAGAGTGAATGCACACTTCGTAAATAGACATTTACTTGTATGATCCAAGTCTAATGAGGTTTAAAAATCATTAATACTGTTTCACAGTTGATTTAAATGAACAGGATACAATTAAATAGTCTCTTGATGAGATAATTTGTATTTCTGGATTCAAATCAATGAAATAACAGTTCCTGTCCCCTGAAGGTCTTCAGAGACTGATTGATGTCGGAGGTCTAGTTCACTACAATTGATGGAATATATTTTTAATCTCGTAGTTTATCTACGTCAGAT